ATGCTAAAATCCACTTGTTCAACAGCAGCATGACGCTTACATCAGTATTTCTGTAGAACTTTCTGCCAGTGCCTGTTATTGATTTTTTAAATTGATGTTTCCTCCCTTACAGCTATACCTATAGTATAGCTGTATTATTTGGAGGCTATGAGGTTTGCATCGCTTCAGCACTTTCTGTCTGCAGTGCCCTTTGCGTACTGAGGTTCTTGAAGAGGGCTCAGAAGACCAAATTGTAATGTTCATCATCATATTCCGCTAATACTCCAGCTTTTTTGTTTTTCTTGTTTCCATGTTTCTTTCAAAGTTACAGTTTTGATTAATATATCTTTTAATGGGTTTGGTCCTTTCATGGCATATGTCTACTGCAACCATTACACAATCTCTTTCCTTTCTTTGGGTTATTTTATGTTTCATTGGATCCAGCTGGGTTGGACTGGGACTTAGAAGATCAAGTCCCCAGTGAACCATGAATCTCACTTGGTAATCTTAGGTCAGGCACTCTGTCTACTCTTAATCTGACCACAGGGACCTTAAAGGCATGAAATAAATACAAAGAAAATTATGTACATCATCTTCATGGGAGAAAAGCTGGGATATACCACTGACAAACTAGAACCTTTATGCAATTACAACTTAAAACAACAACAACAACAACAATTTATTTTTATCTTGCCCCTATACTGAAGGGCACCATTCCCAAACATTCCCCCCTACTCTGAAAGTTAATGTAGCTCTAAAATAAACCTTTTCATCACTTAGCATGAAGATCCATCTTCACGGACTTTGTTAAGCCTCAGTCTGACTGCCAAGACCTGGAGGAGCATCTCCTGCTTGTGGCTCCATACACAACAGAGTGCCATTTTGTGTTTTCATCTCTAAACTACTGTATCTCCATACCAACAGCAGTCCATAAACCACAGATAGGTAACCATTCATCTTGCTGATCAGTGGGTTTGATGTCTGATCTCATATATCTAGCCTGCTTCCATCACAAAGCTGATGCTCTTTGTAAAAATGGACTCCCGCTTGAGGATTTATAGGGAGAAAGGGAACCACACCATGCATTGGATCAACAGTTTTGTTGGGTGAGAACCCAATAGAACTGTTGATCCAATGCATGGTGTGGTTCCTTTTCTCCTTATAAATCTTCAAGTGGGAGTTCATTTTTACAAAGAGCATCAACCATGGGAAAACTGCTTGTGTTTGAGATAAAAGTTTTGAGCCAGCATTCTGATCTGAGGATTTCTCTGATAGTTTTGGGTCTAATTTTCTCAAGTCTGTTAAGGAATGTGACACAAAGGTCCCGTCATTTATAATTCAAAGACTTAGCCATTTTAGTCTAGAAAATCAGTATGCAAAGGGATCTTGCAGCCTCAGAAGGCAATGGCAAACCCACTCTGAAGAAACTTGCCAAGAAAATCCCATGATAGGTCCATCTTAGGGTCGCCATGAGTCAAAAATGACAAAGGCACACAACAAAATAATTGTCTTTTCTAATATCATGTTGTCTTTCTATATGCCCCAAATATAATAGCCTCAGTTGAAATATTTTGGCTTTTAGGGAGAATTCAGGCTTGATTTGTTCTCTAGCCATTTTGGCAGTTCAAGGTATCCATAGAGCTCTCTCCAGCAAAGGAGGTGATTTTCTTCCTCTCAGCTTTTCTTTACTGTGCAGCTTCCATAATAAAATGCATGGTAAATATACAGGTCAGCCATTACAGGGGACCCACACTGGATTAAGACCGCAGCATGGAAACCCACTGGGTGACCTTGGGCAAGTCACACTTTCTCAGCCTCAGGAGGATGGCCATGGCAAACCCCCTCTAAAGAAATGTGCCAAGAAAATCCCATGATAGGTTCACCTTAAGGTTGCTATAAGTTAAAAAAACGACATGGAGGCACACAACAACACGACGACAACAACAACAACAACAAATTCTCCGCTCTCTGATGAAGAGGGGGCACTTTTCAAACAAGAAAACCCATCCAATGAACTGGAGAGAAAAGGCAAATTAATAAGGCAAGACTGGGTTTTATTCTTCTTAAATACCATAAAGTTGACTTTGACTTATGGTGACTTGCAACTCTGGTTTTCAGGAACGACTTAGGGAGCTGGGGATGTTTAGCCTGGAGAAGAGAAGGCTAAGAGGGGATATGATAGCCTTGTTTAAATATTTAAAGGGATATCATATTGAGGAGGGAACAAGCTTGTTTTCTGCTGCTCCAGAGAACAGGACCCAGAACAATGAGTGCATGCTCCAGGAAAAGAGATTCCCCTTCAACATTAGGAGGAACTTTCTGACAGTAAGAGCTGTTCAACAGAGGAACACACTCCCTTGGAGTGTGGTGGAGTCTCCTTCTTTGGAGGTCTTTAAGCTGAGGCTGGATGGCCATCTGTCAGGGATGCTTTAATTGGGAGTTCCTGCACGGCAGGGGGGTTGGACTGGATGGCCCTTGTGGTCCCTTCCAACTCTATAATTCTATGATTCTATGTGAAATCTTCAACATCAGTATCCTTGGAGATCAGTACAACAGTCAATGGTTGCTACAATCCCTGGTGTCCCCTTTCTTGAAGACTGGAATGGATATTGAACATTTTCAATCTGTGTATCATTGGTTTATTCCCTCCAGATTTTTTGGGCAGATTTTTCTTAGAATTTGAATGGATTCCTAGTCTGCACCATGGAATAGCATTACTGGTATGTCATATTTCCCATCTTTTCCTAGTAGTTTATGCTCCCAAGTGTTTTGAGAGCCTTTTCCACTTCAGTTTCAAAACCTATTGGTTCCTCTTCAAATGGTTCTCCCTTGAAGGAATCTGCCATCATTTCATCTCTTTTATATAGTTCACTTTTCTGTGTACTGCTTCCATCAACTTTATATTTTGTCCTGATGGCATAATTTGTTCCCTTGTTGCTCATATAGCATCCCTACTCTTGGTTTGAATTTCCTTTTAATTTTTTTGATCTTGTGGAAAAGGTCTCTTGTTCTTCCCTTATTGTCGTATTCTCCTATTTCTTTGCACTGATTATTATAATAATGTTGTTTTTTGTTCCCATACACAAGTTGCTGAACAGCTGAATGCAGCATTCTAACTCTGTTCCAGTCACTGGCTGCATCTGCACTGCAGAAATAATCCAGATTGACATCAATTAATCCATGGCTCAAAGCTA